GCCCCAGCCTCCCGAGTAGCTGGGACTACAGGTGTGCATCACCGTGCTTGGCTAATATCTGTATTTTTAGTAGAGACAGAGTTTCTCCATGTTGGCCAGGCTAGTCAGGAACTCCTGGCCTCAGGCGATCTGCCTGCCTTAGCCTCCCAAAGTGCTGGGATTATAGGCTTGAGCCACCACACCTGGCCTTGAATTATTAATATATATTCTGTGCAAGAATCTTCTCTCATGGAGACAGCACTGACCAGTTATAAACACAAAGTGAGTGAGTCTTTAATAGCCAGATTCATAATGAAGTGCAAGCTGATAGGATTCAATCCTGGACAGTTCCCCACAGAGACTGAGGCTCCAGAGAGGTAAGATCTCTTTGTTTTTGGTGGTCATTCTGTTTGACCCTATTAAAATCAGGAAACAGTTGAGTCTTTCTGCCTTCCTGTCTTTGGTAGAACTACCTTATATTCTTGAATATTTCATTCACTTGTTTACTTTGTAAAGCATAAGAAATAATATTTGGACAGGGCTGCAGAGCTCTTGTTGGCATGTGGCCTGCCTGCCCAAAGAAAGCTGTAACAACAAGAATGATAGATATTTTAAAATAACCTTGCCCAGCTATTTTCAGAAAGTTACAGGAGCCCTGCCTACCAAGATTCATTGATTTTTTTTTCCAATTTGTTTTAGTTAAACAATCAATTTTCTGATGTTCTTTGCTAAGAAAAATTTTATCCTCTTGCTAGTGATTTACTACTTTAAAATTAGCTTAATTTAGGTACTGAATGAACATATTTTTTGAATAAGCCTCGTGTGGTAGGCACTGTTCTGGACTTGGGGAATAGAAATAACCAGCGTAGATAAAATCCCTACCTCATGGAGCTTACAATCTGCTGAAATAACTTTCTTAGGAAACATTAAAGTTTCTTAAGTGGCATTTGATAATTTTCATATGCCAAACTCCTCTTAAAGGAATACTTATTTATCTTTGGGCCTTAGTTCCTCATTTGTTAAGTGAGGAAGGTGAACTAGATGATCTCTAAGGTTCTTTTCCATTCAGAACTTGTATGCTTTTTATTTTTATTTTTTTAGAGACAGGAGTCTCACTCTGTTGCCCAGGCTGGAATGCAGTGGTGTGGTCATGGCTTAATGCAACCTCTACCTGCTGAGCTCAAGGGACATTCCTGCCTCAGCCTCCCCAGTAGCTGGACTGCAGGTGCACGCTACCATACCCAGACTTTTTTTTTTTTTTTAAGTAGAGAAAAGGTCTTACAGTATTCTATATTGAACAGGCTAGTCTTGAACTCCTGGCCTTGAAGGGTCCTCTAGCCTTGGCCTCCCGGAGTGCTAGAATTATAGGCATGAGCCACTGATCCTGGCTCCATAACATTTTAGAAGTTGGAGACTGGTTTGTAATTAGAACCTTAGGCAGTTCCACCTACCCTTAGTGGATCAGTATATTATAAAAAGTGTTATAGGCCAGGTACGGTGGCTCATGCCTGTAATCCCAGTACTTTGGGAGGCTGAGGCGGGCGGATCACGAGGTCAAGAGATTGAGACCATCCTGGCCAATGTGGTAAAACCCTGTCTCTACTAGAAATACAAAAATTAACTGGGCATGGTGGTGTGCACCTTTAGTTCCAGCTACTTGGGGTGCTGAGGCAGGAGAATTGCTTGAGGTGAAGGTTGCAGTGAGCCAAGATCGAGCCACTGCAATCCAGCCTGGTGACAGAGTGAGATTCTGTCTCAAAAAAAAAAAAAATGTTATAAAGAGACATTTGCCAAGATAGTGATATGAATAGGTGGTAAAGAGTATCAAATGCTACAGGGAAGTCAAATGAGTTAAGGACAAATTTCAATGACTGTTCTTAGTTATTAAGAAGACATTGGCCAGGCATGGTAGCTCATGCCTGTAATCCCAGCACTTTGGGAGGCCGAGGTAGGAGGATCACCTGAGGTCAGGAGTTTGAGACCAGCCTGGCCAACATAGTGAAACCCCTTCTCTACTAAAAAGACAAAAATTAGCCAGGCATGGTAGTGGGTGCCTGTAGTCCTAGCTACTCTGGAGGCTGAGGCAGGAGAGTCACTGGAACCTGGGAGGCGGAGGTTGCAGTGAGCTGAGATTGTACCACTGCACTCCAGCCTAGGCAACAGAGTGACACTGTCTCAAAAAAGAAGAAAACATTAATGATCACAATAGAAACAGTTTTAATAGAGTCATAGATTAAACCGTGATCCCTTTGGGTTAAGGATTGAATTATTATAGGCATTGCCTATTCCTGTGAGACCCTTTGGTCATTAGGCAGTGTTAAAGCTGGAAGATATGAAAGCTTAAGAGCATATCAAGACTTACTTTTCTGTACTTGTTTCTGGATGTGTGATTTTCTGTTTTAGGTTGTTACTTGACATAATTTTTCTGGCATCTGTGTCGATAAGTCAATCAGATAATGAATGAACAAGTACTGTGTGATGCAGTTGGAACAGATAATCAGCATAACTAATGAAATATTTAATATTGCTTAATTATCACTTCAGAAAAAGATTTCTTGCCTAGCAGGTAGAAGGAAGTGCTATATTTTTTATTTCTTCTTTTTTTTTTTAGAATGGAATCTTACTCTGTTGCTCAGGCTGGAGTGCAGTGGTAAGGTCTTAGCTCACTGCAACCTCCACCATCCAGGTTGAAGCGATTCTCCTACCTCAGCCTTTCCGAGTAGCTGGTACTGCAGGCATATACCACCATGCCCAGCTAATTTTTGTGTTTTTAGTAGAGATGGGGTTTCACCATGTTGGCCAGGCTGGTCTCAAACTCCTGACCTCATGATCCGCCTACCTCAGTCTCCCAAAGTGCTGGGATTACAGATATGAGCCACCACCCCTGGCCAAGAAGTGCTGTATTTTTGGGAAGAGTAAAGTAATATCCTTACATGCTTTTACTTTTTTTTTTTTTTTTTTTTTGAGAGAGAGAGTGTTTTGCTCTTATTGTCTAAGCTGGAGTGCAGTAGCACGATCTTGGCTCATTGCAACCTCTACCTCCCAGGTTCAAATGATTCTCCTGCCTTAGCCTCCCGAATAGCTGGGATTATAGGTGCCTGCTACCACACCTGGCTGATTTTTGTCTTTTTAGTGAAGATGGGGTTTTACCGTGTTGGCCAGGCTGATCTCAAGCTCCTGACCTCAGGTGATCCTCCCACCTCGGCCTCCGAAAGTGCTGGGATTACAGGTGTGAGTCACTGCACTCGGCCCTTGTATGCTTTTACTGATAAAAATTATTTCTTTCAAGAAATGGGAATTCGGCTAATTTACCTCTTAAAGGAAATACTAATGTTGCTTTATCTAAATGAACAGGATAGTGAGTGAAGTGGTAATTGTACTTAAAGTAGTTATAATCTTTAGAATCTCCTGGAAAACTTAAGATACAAGTTTACCTTATTTTAGCGTTTCATACTAATATACGTTCTGTTTCATGAAGAAAAGAACTATATAATGTAAAGCAGAATTTTTTAACAAGAGGTTCTTGTGTGGGATCTTTAATGAGTCCATATACTCCCTTGAAATTGTATGGAACAGGTTGTCGATGTGTGCATTTTTTCTGAGGAGTGGATCCATAACTCAGAAAGGTTAAGAACATCTGCCCTGCAAAGGAAAAGCAAAAGACTTAATAAAAACGCTTTGTACGTGCCAAAACTTGCTCTGTACGTGCCAAAACTTGCTCTGTAGCATTAAGTGTGAAACAAGTTTGCTACATTTTTCTTTCTTGGTTTTACTTTGTTGGGATGTTTTTGTTTGGTTGGTTTTAAAGGATTTAGGGGATTGGCAAGTCAATTTGTCAGATTATCAATGAACAGAAAACCTAAGAAAAAAGGTAGCAAAAGTTCTGCTAGCCCCACATGGATTTTGCCTTAGGTAATTTCCTAATCATTAGTTACAGCTCCGTGTCAAAAGATGTATTTAGAAATTTATACTAGATTCTTAACCTCTTTCTTACTGTGTGCAGAAATTCTTATTGATTTATGTATGCTATGTAAGATATTTTCTTTCTTACTTTCATGCTCACAGTAACAAAATAATAGCTAAAGAAATTAAAGTTTTTCCTAAAGATATTAAATGGTGTTGTTTTGTTGCCTCAATTAACTAAGAGCCACTGTTTTTAACAGTTACAATGGCAGTAACTTTAAAGGAATAAGAAAGATCTGTTTTTGCAAAGACCTTTGTTGCTTCACAATACACATCTCCTTTAGTCTGAGGTATCATTTTAAACAATTTTATACGAAAATCAGTCACTGGAAATTACTCCCAGTATAATTTCCTCATCTCTTGTGAAGCATAATATGTGATTTTTAAGGCCTTGTTTGTGAATAAGTGTGTTCTTTAATCATTTGAGTAAAAGGAATCTTAAATTTATCATGTGTACTTGGCAGTGGATTAAGGTGTGGCCAGCTTGACCAACTACATTTGAAAATCTGTTCCACTGCCTGTTTTTTCTTGTAACATTGTTTCCTGCTATTATAACTAAGCTGTCCTCCCTGCAGATTGACTTTATTTTTCATCTGACATCTTAGACTGATCAAGCCATTGTTTTCTAAACAACACATTTATGTAGCTGTTATGCCTTATTTCTGTTCCTCCTCATTATAATGCTCTGTTCCATGTGTGGTCAGTTAGCTAGAACAGTGGTTTTTGTCCTGGTGATTATTTTATGATTGTATGAAATGGGGCAAACTTTGAGAAAATTATTAAGCCAGTACTGGAATTGGCTGGCATATGCCTTTATGATTTATTTAGTTTTCTGCTTTGCCCTACCACGGAAGAATTTAGTTCTTCCCATTTCCTGAGAGTCCAAGGATCGGAGGACACTGAAGCAAAATAAACCTTAATCTCACCCCAAAAGTAGCTTAGATAATGTCAGGAAGGGCTTTGATAAAACCACTGTCCCTGCTTATAGATCTTATTTTCCAAGCCTTTCATTATTTTATTTGCCCTTTTCTGAACTCTACAATTTCCCTCTCTTGTAGCTGGTTCGATGCCCAGAACTGAATGCTGTGCTCCAGCTGTGGCCTCACCGGTGCTGAATAGAGAGGAAGAGCCACCTTCATAGCTTACATGTGATTCCTCTGCCTATACAACCCAATACTGGATTTACTTACTTTGGCAAGATAGCTGCATTGTGCACTGTATTTAATGTTACGTGTACTGTAACCCTGGGTCTTTCTCTGCATTGCTGCCGTTAAACCCCCAATCCTGCCAATCTAAAACTCCTGCCTTTGTTTACCTTCCCCCTCCCCCATAGACTCCCCATACATTCATCCACAATGAATGTCATCTTTTTATTCTCTCATTTCCTTTTACTGTAATCTTAAACTTTGGCAAAACTTTCACTCTGTCCTATAAATTGTCACTTGTCAGCCATCTTATTTTTCTTCCTGCTTTGGTAATGGGACATCTTTCAAGTCTTTTCTCTGGTTCTTTTGTCTTTGTAGTCATTAAGTGCTTGTCATGGTGGATTTAATAAGCATTCCCTTGCCATTTCTTCCAAATACCCATGAACTCCTCTGGGTTGACCACCAATCAAGTTGTTACCTATGCTTTAGTTCTTCAATCCAGGGTTTCTTGATTCCTGACCTCTATCCCTACAGCTTCAATCAGGATACAGTATTCTCTCACAACTCCTCCTCCAGGGAGGAGACAAAAGCATCATGTCAGTTTACTGGGGAGCTTTCCAATAGTAAGGAAGATTATAATATTTAATTGTAAATGGAATCGATTTTAATACTTTTGAGCAAATTTCTGCCCCCACCCCAGACCTTAATTTTTAGAAACTATTAAGCTTAATTTATTACAGATTTCTAGGACAACTAAGGTAAAGGAAAAAGGAAAGGAAGCGAGATTTTTGTGTTGAATAAGACATGGTTCTCCAAGAAAGCCACATCGAAGTTCTTGTTGGATTTGAGAGCTGTCTGAAATGGGAATTGAGGCTTCGTTTTTCTGAGCATTATTGTAATCTCAGCTCTAGAGTAGGTTTTTAAGTCGGTTTATTTAGGACTGTTGACACACACAGTCTTAATTACATGCTTTGGCTAATTTAGAGTGTGGAAAATGTAACCTATTTTGCTTTATTATGAGTGATAATTGGAAGTTCTCCATGTCCTTTTTATTCATCTCTAAACTCCCTCAAGTTTAACTAAATCCCATTGCTTGTTACAATAGCAGTCAAGAAGAAGTTTAAGTTCTTATTCTTTTTTTCTTAATTGATGTGTTCTATTTAAACAGCGTTTCCTTGGATCTGTGGTCTTCACTGAACCCAGAAAGTACCTCTTAAGTGCATTTATATCTTGAGAGAGTTAAAATTAGTTGGGAAATCTTTTTTAACATGATTTCAATACATCAAATTCCTATCATGGATTTAGAAGCTACCTAATATCTTTCCTTTGAGCCCTGATAGATATTTTACATGCTAGCATATTGCACTATTCAAGTGTATTACAAAAGTACACTACAAAGTAAGAGGTGGCAATATCTGTTAGTGTCTTTGATAAATCGTAAATGTATCACTTTTCTTTCAGATGTGTAACCATTAGATATTGCTAGTTTCCTATCACAATTACATAAGCCAAGTGAAGTATTAAGCGCAATTTGGTGGTTCCAACGAGAGTAAGAGTCTTTTCTGTGGTTTCCGGCCTTGTCTGTTGCCAGAGATTGGTGCCTTTGCTTATGCTTGTTTTACTTCCTGATAAGTATGGTACCTTTCTTCAAAGAAATGTTAGTTTTATTCCCTGACTTCTGAAATAACCCTCAGAACAGAGCCAGCTGGGCTCTTGTGTGTGCTGAATGCTTTTCTCTGGGCAGTCAGTAAGTAGTGAGCAGTGGCATGGTTTCCTTCTCCATTTATGGCCTTGGAAGGGTGAAAGGGACATGGTTTGGGACTCTCCATTTACGGTCCTTGGAGGAGTTGAAAAGAGTGGTTGGGGTGTTCTTGGAGGCAGAAAGTAGACATTGTGAGATAAAAATAAATTGGCAAGGGATGTTTGCAATTCAAATTCCAATCCCTGCAAGGAGGGCAGAGGGCACTGGGAAAGGGGGAGTGTGTAGAAAGTCAAATGAGCTCTGCTGCAGACATTTGTCTCCTTCCACTGGAAGGTTTGCCCACGACACGTCTCCCAAGTTCATATTTCTGGTTTGTTCTAGGAAGTTTTATCTTATGTAATTGTGACTATCTCTTACAAAGAGAAAGAAGAAACACTTTTAAAAAGAGTGTATTGTTAGAAACCTCAGTTCTCTAAGGTATCATTTGAGGCTCCAGAAGCCATCTCAAGAAAGGAAGAATGAGACAGGTGCTTGTCCAGGGGCTAGGCTGGCTGGCTTTAGGGTTGGAGACTCTTTAATTATTGCTCTGTTTTTGTGTGAGGAAGATCATCACACATGTCATGCTTTTATTATCCTTTTACCCATCTAGATTTCTGGCTTCGGGGACAGATTTTTAAATTATCTGAAATAGTGTCTTGTAGATTGTCAACTGTGATTTAAAGATACTGAACTTCCTGGCCGGGTGCAGTGGCTCACGCCTGTAATCCCAGCACTTTGGGAGGCCGAGGCGGGTGGATCACTCGAGTTCAGGAGACCAGCCTGACCAACGTGGAGAAACCCCGTCTCTACTAAAAATACAAAATTAGCCGGGCATGGTGGCACATGCCTGTAATCCCAGCTACTCAGGAGGCTGAGGCAGGAGAATCGTTTGAACCCGGGAGGCGGAGGTTGTGGTGAGCCAAGGTCGCGCTATTGCACTCCAATTTGGGCAACAAGAGCGAAACTCCGTCTCAAAATTAAAAAAAAATAAAGATACTGAACGTCCATGGAGGCATTATAAAGATTATTAAGAGTTGTTTTAGTTTGGTGAGAATAGTTAACATATTGGCTTATGGAGAGCAATCTCACATTTAGGAGAAATTTATAGTCTGGCAGTGCCTATAAGTTAAGTCTAAAGTGAACTACTTTTGCACAGTTGAGTTAGAAAGTATTTGGTAACCACCCGGGAAAAGGGATTTTATTTCACGAACATTCTCAGTAAAAGTAGAAGGGAGATTAGAAGGAACAAAGGGAGACAGAGGTGGGATAGAGACTGGATGCAACTAAACTAAATTGGGAAGCTGGGACGAAGGCTTTGATTATCTTTCGAAATGCCACGTAAGATAGCTTAAGATGTACCATTAAACTCAGGAAACTGGGTTAACAATCAGAAATATTTGTTAGAAATAAAGACCGTGGGAAAAGATGGAAGGGTTGTACAAGATAATAAAATTATTTAGGTTTTATCTGTGGACTTGCCTAATGATATTTATTTGCTGTGTGCTACATGGCAGAAAAAGAAGTGAAATGACACCCCTCTGCCCTGTCCTTCCCCCAAAAAGAAATCATTGGCTTCATTTGTTGGCTTGTTTAGCTGGCAGCTTGAGTTGGTAGAATAGACTAGTTGATTGTCTAGTTTTAAGTGTAGGTATTAGTGTACTGTTTCTTGATCCTTGATGTTTGAGACCTGGAATTTGTAGCATTATTGATTTGACCTCTGTTTTGAATTTTAGCAGCTTCCACAAAGACTGAGTTAGTAAGGAATGCAGACTATGTAAGTAATATGTTTCACTAGCCAGTTTGTTTAGGCAATTATTTTTACCCTGTATTCATTCCCTCTTAATCAAGAGTAAGGCAGGTATTCTTTGCTTTGGGAAATTCTTCTTTCTGTCCTCCCTTCCCTCACTTTTTCCAAATTCTGGGCACAACAGCAATTCTCTCTCTTCTGTGGCAGGTGTGCATCCTATTGGCTGGCTGGTATTTCTTGTTCCCCCCCCCTTATTCTTTTTAAATGGGGGTGGGGGTTTAAAAATATGTGTATGGGGTACATGCAATAATGTTGTATTGTTTCTTGTTGTTTAATGGATAATTAATTGCAAAATAATTGTTTTAATTATAACATGTTTGAGTAAATGCTAAATTAGTGTTTTTTTTCTAATATAATAATGAATTTGAAATCTAGCATTCCTGTAACAATGTGTCTATGTTTGTCTGTCTGTGTCTGTCTAATAGTAATTAATATCTGTGGTCCGTACCTGGAAGAGGAAGTACAGCTTTAAAGGAATAACAAAAGACTTTGTGTCTTAGACCCTTCGCAGGTGTTACAGTCGGGTGAAAGAACATGGTGTTGGGAAAAGAAAGAGCAGTTACACATTTGAACAGTTGGAACAGGTGTTTGGTCAGGGAGGATGGGATGCTCAGCCCTGCCAGCCTGTACTTATTAACAGTAGTGGCTTGTACCAGGAGCTGGAGTCAGATGGCAGCACTATGGAGGACTATTCACAGGAGGACTGGGGAAACCACAGTCAGGATCTCCATGGCTATCCAACAGATCAGGAATTGGGTAAGAAAGCCAACATGCATGATACTTCTGTTTGTGTGTATTTATGTACCTTTATGTATGTGTACTAGTACTTATTTGTAAATATTTTTGGTACTGTTCCTATAGTGGTTAGCACAGGGCATAAAGGACATCTCTGCCTTGTATGTCTTTTATGCATTTCCATGCCCCAGTCTATTTGGGGCAATATGGGGATCCTTGATTTAGCCTTAAACTGCCAACTAGTGCTTGATGTTGTTCATTTGACAAGTTGATTACCAACAAGATTCCCAAAAACACAGAAGAATTTCTAATTCTTACCTATACAAGGACACTCAGTGACAGATAGCATCCTATGCAAAATATTCTGTACCCTCTAGTTCTAAGATGACTGCTAAGATAATGACTCTTGGCCCAACTGCTGTAGATGTAGCTATCTTAGGAATTCCTTCCTTTATCCCAAATGGCATTTTTCTTTTCTGTTTATCATTTGGAAAAGATCTTCTCCCAGACTTGAGTCTGAACAAAAAATGAGGGGAAGCTTCCATTTATCTTGAAAAGAGCTGATATTTGAACTGTGTGATCATATTCCTTCACACTTCTTAAGGGACCCCATCCCAACAGTAACTGGAGTGATTTATACAGTCATAGGTATTAACTGGAGGGATTTATACAGTCATAGATATTAAAAATGGAAATAAAATTCCTGACCATCAAATCTAAACTTGTAGGGCCTAATTAAGAGTGTACATGTCAGGCCGGGCGCGGTGGCTCACGCCTGTAATCCCAGCACTTTGGGAGGCCAAGGTGGGTGGATCACCTGCGGTCAGGAGTTCAAGACCAGCCTGGCCATCATGGTGAAACCCCATCTTTAAAAAAAAAAAAAAAAAAGAGTGTACATATCATTGTGGGTTTTTTCTGTTTCTTTTTGCATTACATGCTCCAATTTTGATTTTCATATTGATTTCATAATTTGGAGATACTGATCAATTGGCCGTTGTACATTAACAGCAGGTTGTGTAATGAGTGCTTGCTTGGAAGGAAATGTTCTTGCTTCCAGCTCTTGGTACTCAGGTAGCCCCCAAGGAAGTATAAGTAGGATTGGCATTATAAATATGCTCGCTGACCTTTAGATAAAAGTTCATGGGCTCTGTTTTTTACCAAATTCTTGATGATAGAAATATGTTAATTCAAAAGAAAAAGGACTAAATGCTAATATGTTTTTTAGCAATGTTGTTTTAAAAATAGTTCTCAAATACTGGAAGATAGTGAAAGAAGAAAGAGGTTGTAAAACTAAGACTAATGACGTATAAAAGATGGACTTAAAGATTAGAAGAATAAAAGGGGTAGATGGTAAGCAATCACTACTGATTAATTTCAAAGGAGAAATAAGGTCTAAATTACTTTGGCATTCCGTAACACTGGTTTTGCTGTAGAGAGTTAAGTCACTCAAACCTTTGGGAAAAAAGCAGTGTGTAGAATACGTTGATCCTGATACTGGGGGAATAATTGCTTTGTAAAACCTACACAGAAAATCTAAATAGAACAGAATTATTTTTATTCTTGTCCTTTTAAAATCATGTCTGCAGTGAAATTAAGCTTTAAGCTCCTAGCTAGAAATCCACTGGTGACCTTGAAGAATTTCATACTTGTAGAGCTGGTTTCTGATCTTGCATATAAATGTATGCATCTCATTATATAAGAGTTATATTTATACATCTGATATTGGACAGTGTTTGACACTAGAGTAAAAGCCTGGTCTTGGAAAGTATGGAATAATCAGTAAACATAGCTGCTTATCTACATACATGCATGCCATTTCTTAGGAAAATATAACTTGTTTCAAAATCTTTGCTTTTCAGATGAAATACCTATCACAAAGAGAACATTAAAAATAAAGCAAGAGTCTTCTGAAGAAGCACAGTAAGTAGATGCTTCAGCTTTCCAGAAGTGTGTCTGCCTGTTCAGTGACCATTGGGAGGATCAGAAAATACTTAGACATGTTTTGGAAGTTCCAGCCATTCACCAAGGAGGCATGTCTATTCATTCTTTAGATTTAATCAGGGACTTAACTTAAAGGAAAAAGCATCACAAGCATAGCATCACTGGTAATTTCGAGAACTGTGACGTCTATACATTCTTTTACATCTTAGCTTAACTCTTCCAGTGGTTATGTAACATGTTGAGAATTTTGTATAGAAGAAGAAATAAATGTGTTACATGAAAATAGGCATGTTTTTGGTATTTGCTTGTGTGTGGATGTGGACATTTGGATGTTTAATTAAGGCACAAAGATGAGTCACAGGAACCTGAGTTTATCGGGGGTTAGGTGAAATGATCAGGCAGACCAGAGGGACACCTGAAGTATTACATTTTGGGAATCAAAAAGAAAGCTCTTAGATGGCCTATTAAACATTTAGAGAAGAAAGCAATTGTTAGAGGAAAGATTGAGAAGGTCCAGGGACAGTGGTCCACGAAGCTTGATCTTCTCCAAGTTTAGCATTATCTTTTGTGCAAGGATATCCTTGTTCCTGGAATTACCAGTGACATTGTATTTGTGGTTCTTTTTAACAGCTTTAAGTGAGTCCCTGATTAAATGTAATTACTGAGGAGAATATATTGGCAGATAAATTTGTGGAGAAAGTAAGAAACACCATTCATTTTTTTCACCTGTTAACCTTGGAGCATGGATAGCACCCACTTATTCTTGGGTGCTTCATCCCACATATATGATCTTGATGTCTGAGAGATGGCAGAGAAGAGGCGAAAAGGGCTGTGATCGGTAGCAGGCAGCACAACAAGAAAGCATTAGTTGTTTTTTGTTTGTTTGTTTTTGAGATAGAGTCTTACTCCATCATGCAGGTTGGAACATAGTGGTGCAATCTTGGCTCACTGCAAGCTCCTGTAATTCCAGCCTAAGTAGGTGGAACAACAGGCATATCACTGTGCCTGGCTAATTTTCATATTTTTAGTGGAGATGGGGTTTTCCCATGTTGGCCAGGTTGATCTCAAACTCCTGACCTCAAGTAATCTGCCTGCCTCAGCCTCCCAAAGTGTTGGGATTACAGGCGTGAGCCACCACGCCTGGCCACATTAGTTGTTTTTATTCAGCAAGCCACCACCACCACTTCCCCTTTGCAAATGCTTGTTTCTTTTTCAGAGTCTCCCACTGTCATCTGATTCCATGTCTGGGGAGAGGGT